TCTAAGCTTCAAATTGTCAAGATTCTTGCTGTGATTTACTGTCCCTTCATACCTTAAAGAAAAAATTTCCTGAACATTTATGTGAAAGTAATAATGAAGCCTTTTCTAAGTATCTGTTTGCTTTTAACTTTGCTAAGGTAGATGGAGAAAGATGAAAAAGCTACTTCTGGCTTCTTGCTACTGGGGAAAGTATTGCCCTCTCCTCGGCCTTTAGTCCAGCTACTGTGTTTTGGTTGCCTTCTAACATCAGAGGAGCTGAAAGTGGACCTATCTGTGTGATAGATCTTCCGTGAAATCTATCTATTCACTCTTCCATGCTTTCAGCCCATGAGGAGCCACGTGCAATCGATGTCTTTCCAAAGTGTATAGAGCAGCATATTAATGGACCTTGAAACCAATTAGTGCCAGCTTGACCAGTATTAAAATGAGAGAGATTGAGAAAGAGAAAGAGAACAGAGTAGAATAGAAGATGCTTGCATGGCAAGTAGGAAGGGCAAGAATTGCTTTGTAGTACTTTTATATATGTGTATGTGTATGTGTTGCATAATAGAATGTATTTCCCACTGTCTTATCAGTTAAATTTTGAAAGCACTGAGCTAGAGTGACTAAGTAGATTCCTTGGTCATTCCCCCTGAATCTAAGATGGTATAAATTCTAAGCTGGAAATTTGAAAGGATTTTCACCACATGTTAATTACCTCCACACTTATGACTCCATGGACTGTAGCCCACCAGGCTCCTCTGTCCTTGGGATTCTCCAGGCAAGAACACTGGAGATCAGTCCTTTAATCCAATCATTACTTTTGAGGCAAGAGTGGCTGTGCTGAAGGGAAGGACGGTCATTACAAGATGGTAAGTCTGACAAAAAACCACTGCAATGATGTAATTAGCCTCCAACTAATAAAAATAAATGAAAAAAAAAAAAAAAAGATGGTAAGTCACATGGCCTTAGAGAGTAGGACGGAGACTCCATGACTGAGAGAGGATGCTGAGGAGGGCACTGAGCCAGCCCCAGCTCTGTGTTTACTGAAATTCCTTGAGGATGAGAAGGGGGAAGGGGGAAGGTGGTATGAGTAAAAACAGCACCTGATGCGAGTTGAAGGGCACTGGAGAGGCTCGGAGGAAGGTGGACCTGGGGACGCTTTGGCAACGAACACACTTTCCATTTGTAGAACTGCCTCTTTGGAACTGAGTGAATGGGGAAAGGTGACCTGAAGTTAACATGTGTTGTATTTGCTTCATCATTTCTAAGTTTGCATTGTCAAGAAACTCTATTCTGAAATTTAAAAATCTAAGTAGAATTTAGATTGTTGTATGAGATTGAGAGCCCTAGCAGGATACACATGCCTGTGTCTTAAGAGTTTAATTGTAAACACAAACTCTTACAGTTTCCAGAAATAATATAAAGTTGTATTAGTTTCAGCCTTCTAAAAATTAAGTTTGTCATAATGGTCACCTGATGGGATGAAATACATGGAAAGTGTTTAGTGCTTATATAGTATTTTACATTATCTACTGATTCATTGATAAAGCACTATCTTACATCCTTATTCTAGGAAGATTTCTGGATATCTTATGAACTACTTTAAGCTCTCCAAGCTCTCATTACTACTTATAGGTTAAGAAGCTAATTTATATACAGTCGACCCTTGAACAATGCAGGTTGGAACTGCAGGGATCCACTTCAATTAGGATACTTTTCAGTTGTAAATATTTACGATATCACCAAATCCTAGCTGGTTGAGTCTGCGGATGCCTGGAAACTGGAAATACAAGGCTAGGTATGAGTTATGTGTGGAATTTCTACAGTGAGGAGGGTGGGCACCCAAGCCCCATGTTGTTGATGCATCGCCTGTACTGAAGTGAAAAATAGGCTTTTCAAATTACTTCAGAGATAGATTGTTAAAACATTATATTAAAAGAGGACTAGTTTGACCAGTCGGTCTACTTTGATTTAGCTGTCTATGGACAGATATTTGAGAGAGCGAACTCGAAAGGACAGCAAGCTGATGGGGTAGAACTTTTTTCTCTTGTTTCTATTCCTAGTATACAGCTGATGGAACTGACTTTTTGGCCATTTTCTCTGATAGTAGATGCTGTGTATTACGGGTCCAATATCCAGGCACAAATACACACATTTGGAGGCTGTTGTGTTCTTCCCATTAAAGGGGCGTTTCTGCCTCTTCCTTGTGTTTATTGCTTTAAGTTTTAAAGAGCTGATGAATTCTCGTGAGATTATTTGTGATTCAACTTGTTTCGGATAAGTACAGTGCTAGTGATGCTGCAAACCTGCGATCCCTTGGATTGCTTAGGGACCAATATAGAGTAAATAGGTGCGTTAGCTGAATGGATTATTGAACATACGATTCACTAGAGTTACTAGAATAGGACCAAATCTTCCAGTGCTACTACATATTAGTTTATGATTTCAGATCCATGGAAGCTGGATATAATTTTAATATCCTTCAGAGAGATAGCTTGCTCAGTCACGTCTGACTCTTTGCGACCCCGTGTACTGTAGCCCACCAGACTCCTCCGTCCATGGTGATCTTCAGGCAAGAGTACTGGAGTGGGTTGCCATTTCTTTCTCCAGGGGATCTTCCCGACCCAGGGATCGAACCCAGGTCTCCCGCGTTGCAGGCAGACACTTTAACCTCTGAGCCACCAGGGAAGCCTTTTAATATCCTTAGGGGGATAATTTCTATATCTGATTAGTTATAATACTTTAGAGAAAATAATAGACATGTTATAAACTTAAAATGAAGCATAGGAAGGAAGCAAGCTTAAATAATTTGCCCAAACTACTTCATTACCTTGAAGACTTTTTTGCACTTGGGATTGCATTTATATATTTACATGCCTATTGCCTCACCTAGGCCCTGAGATTCTGGAAATGAAGATCCAGGTCTCTGTATTTCTAACCTCATGTACTTTCTACCACATAACCTAGTTTTTATATGTGGTCACAGACCACCTCAATCTGATTCATCAGGGGAGTTTTATTACCAATACAGGTTATCAGGACACACCCACAGATTTACTAAAAATCTACAGAAGTGAACTCCATCATTTTAGATCAAGTAAATGCAATGACATTGATAATGCAAGAATAGACAGCAAGGCTTCCAGACCTTGCCCTCCACACTTCTCGCCTACTCAGCGAACTTCTCCTGGCCGCCTACTAAGTGCCAGCTACTCTGGGTGTGAAGTTAAATGAAGCACATTAACAGTTAAAAGCAGAGTGAGCTGGAAAGATTTGATTTGAATCAACCTTACCTACATGCTAACCACATAAATTTCAGCGTCACTTAACTTCCCTAAACCTATTTCCTGACTGACATAAGATTTGTGTAAATACTAAGTAAGTTCAGTCACCCAGTCGTGTTTGACTCTTTGTGACCCCATGGACTGCAGCACACCAGGCTTCCCTGTCCATCACCAACTCCTGGAGCTTGCTCAAATTCATGTCCATCAAGTTGCTGATGCCATCCAACCATCTCATCCTCTGTCGTCCCCTTCTTCTCCTGCCTTCAGTCTTTCCCAGCATCAGGGTCTTTCCCAGTGAGTCAGTTTTTCAAATCAGGTGGCCAAAGTATTGGAGTTTCAGCTTCAGCATCAGTCCTTCTAATGGATATTCAGGACTGATTTCCTTTAGGATTGACAATTTTGATCTCCTTAAATACTTTTTGCAAAGTGCTTGGAATAGGGTGTGCTCTTAATGAACTTTAGATTTTTTTTTCTTAATGAGCTCATGTTCTAGGAAGGGCTGAATTTCTTCGAAAATAGGGAAAATAAGGGAAGAGATATAAGAGATTTTTGTTTTCTATCAAACCACCCCAAAACTCGGTGGTATAACTTTTATTGACTCCCAGTGTGGTGGATTGGCAGTGGGGGTTGAGTTCATTTGGGACAGCTTGTCTCTGCTGTAGATTGTGTCATCTGGGCACACTCAGGTGGTGTCAGCCTGCTGGCTCTGAGTGGCCTCACCCCTGGGGCTATAGGAGCAATCGTTGCTAAAGGGGTCATGGGTACTCATCATCATGGGTACTGCCAGCCTGGGCTAGACGCGTGGTGGTGACTGCAGTGTTCTCGAGAGCAGTGGGAAAGGAGTGGTTAAGGTTCCGCATGAGCAGGCACTTTGCAAGCCTCTGTATGTGTCAGGTTTGCTAGTGTTTCATTAGTCAAAGCAAGCCATGAGACCAAGCCGGGATTCAGCAGGTGGAGAAAGACTTCACCCCTCCACGGGTAAAGGGATGTGACTGCAAGGATGGGAAGCGTTTGTGGCTGTTTCTGTAACCTGCATGGGCTTTACTGATTGCTTCCTCTGTATCAGACTTCATGCTCGGTGATTTGTGTGTATTTCCTTTAATCCAGCCAGCAGTCTCCTGATGTGTGTGACAATCCCCTTTCAAGGATGAGAAAGTCGATTAGACAAATTGAGACTTGTACACGTTAAGCACAAGTTTTTGCCTCTACTCATGGAGTGGTCTTTTGGGTGCTATCTCTTGTTGCTTAGGTGATCAGCCCACAAGGCAGAAGGTGTATGCTCTATTTCGTTAAGATTTGGTTAAAATGGAGTTTTAGTGGCTTGTTTTACTCATATTGATACCGTTAGGCTAAATAAGGCTTCTCAGGTGGCTCAGAGGTAAAGCATCCACCTACAATGTAGGAGACACGGGTTTGATCCCTGGGTTGGAAAGATCCCTTGGAGGAAGAAATGGCAACCCTCTCCAGTATTCTTGCCCAGAAAATCCCATGGACATAGGAGCCTGGCAGGCTACAGTCCATGGGGTCGCAAAAGAGTCAGACACGACTGAGCAACTCAACAGCAAAACAATACTGAATAAACTGTTGAGTCATTTGTACAGTATAGAAAAGATTTAATCTTACTAGCATCACTGTTCTTTAAGACTTGCCAGAAGTTTATGAGAATTGTTTTAATGGATTTTTCTTTGTTTTGCCAGATCACCTATGCAACCTGGATCTCACCGCATTTTGGACATGACTGAGCCTCTTCAGTGGGCCAGGTATCACTGGCAGCGGCTGATCGGCCATACGAACACAGACGATGACGAGAGACCATACAGCTATTCCTCTCTGCTTGCCTGCGGGGGCAAGTCCTCCCAGCCCCCCAGACTGGCAGGAAAGCATCGGGTCGTTGTTCCCCACCTCCAGCTCTTCAAGGAGGAGCGTGAGAAGTTCTCTGGCACCTACATGAATAACAGAATACGGACAACGAAGTACACGCTGTTGAATTTTGTGCCAAGAAATTTGTTTGAACAATTTCACAGGTACTTGTATTTTTGGGAGAAAAACTTAGAATGTTCTTTGTCATTCTGATTGATATATAAGATTTTTCATTTTCATAATGTTGTCTTGTTACCTAAGCCTAACACTTGCCACATTATCTTTGATGATTCTGGTAGGGTCCATTGTGGAATGATGACTCCTTACATTCGTATAACACTTTAGGACTAATAAAATGCTTTCTCATGACAAGAGAAGATATTGTTATCTCCGTATTACAGATGAGGAAACTAAGTTTGGCCCTGTAGTTTAACCACTGTCCTGTCAGAAGTGAATGAGGGGCTATGACCTTCAGTCTGTTCACTTCTTGCTTTTGTGTTCTTTCCATTAAAAGAATGCTAATTCTGTATTTAAATTTGACTTATAGCCTTTTCTTCTTTTTAAAGGATATTTATTTACTTCTTTGGCTGCTCTGGGTCTTAGTTACAGTACATGGGATCTTAAATCTTCATTGTGGCATAAGGAATCTTTAGTTGCAGCATGTGGGATCTTGTTCCCTGAGGAGGGATTGAACCCGGGTGCCTTGCATTGGGAGCACGGAGTCTTATCCACTAGCTCCTAGCTTTTTCTTTGTGATAAAAGGAGGAAATAGAGCTCTGAAGCAAATACAGATGTAAGCTGTAAGATTAGGTGAAGCAGATATAATTCAGTGTAACATGTATTTGTTGAAGCCCTTTTATCAGGTTAAGTATTGAAGGAAATGCAAGATTATATGAAGCTTCTTTTCTTATGGAGCCTTATATTTAGCAAGGCCAGCAAGATGTGTATACAGTGAAAAGACGCAGTGGGTGTGATGAGTGCTGTAAGGTGCTGCCAACTAGGATGGAAGCGTCAAAAAGAGAAATACTACTATTAGCCAGAGCGACAGAAGGAAAGTGGCATGTGAATTCAGTTATGAAGGTCGAGATTTTCAAGGTGGAGATGTCTGTAAAGCACATTTCAGATGGAGGAAGGAATACAAAGAAAAGCAGAATGGCAATGGCATAGAAGGTTTGCTGGAGGCCTGGGAAGTAGGCCTCTGTGACTGATACTGTTAGAGGATAATTAAAAGCAGGACAGAACATTTAGGAAGATATATCCTGGATATATCCTGGCAAGCTGTAATAGAGACCTGAACTTAGAAAAATGTGGGGATGAAAAAGAGGATAATCTATTACAGATACTATGGATGGATGTAAGGAATTAAGTGAAAGGAGTGAAAAGACAATGTGAGCAAACTGAGTTATGATGACCAGGAGGATTAACAGAAAAAGAAAAGACAGGAATAAAAAGAAGGTTGGCTCAAAGGTTATGTCTTTGTAAATGTTGAGTTTGAGATGCTAATGTGAGTATAGAGATTCTCAGCATTTATTGTCATTTTTTTCCAGTATTTATTCATTTCATATATATTCACCCTCATTTTTTATTCTCTGTATATTGCATGCAGTTATGGAACAGTGGATATGGTTAAAGTACAGATGTGAATTTGTCAAATTAATGGTTTTAACTACTATGGATATTTCTATCTTGTATGGAGTTTGCAGTTGTGCCCATGATAGAATTAGAACCTGGAACCTGAGTAGAGCTCAGGGCCCAGCCCTACAGATACAGATGCAGTTAACCTGGCGTGCTGCAGTCTGGGGTCGCAAAGAGTCGGACATGACTGAGTGACTGAACTGAACTGTATATGTAAATCATTGAAGCCACAGAAGCAAAAAGGGTTGCAAGTGGCCAAAAATTTCAGCATAAGAGGAATTTGAGGTGAGAAATGAGGAATATGTGTAGATTATTTTGAGAAGTTTGACTGTGGGAAAAATCTCTGATAAAAATTCAAGGGACCGTGCAAAATTGAGATTTAGTTTGTTTTAAGGAAAGAGGCTGCTTGCATTTGCCTTAGGGTCCAGTGGGAAATATTTGATTATATAAAAGAGAGAAGTAGTTCCTTAAAATGTAGTTCTCAGTGATGTGAAAGCAGAAATGGAAGCGTTGATCTCAGGGAAAAATACACCCTCAGGGTTTTCTAATTATTTTGAACCTTGTTTGAATCTAATGTTTGGATAATCAAGTTAACTTCAGAAAGTTAGAGCTGATTTTTTGTTTTTGCAGTGCATTAACTTTGAATTTCCTCTTAAGGAAATTTCCTCTTTTTTGAACTTTTTAAATGAAAGTACTACTTCCTATTGTGCTTTATTATGTTACACAACTCACAATGGTCACACTGCAATATTGACTCTAATATTTAATAAATGATAGCTCACATTTATTAGTTTGTCCAACTAGATGTCTACAGGGATAATAAGTTACTCATTCAGATTTCTTAGATTTCACTAGTTCTGTTTTGTAGCATCCAAAACCAACTGATAGGAACTCATGGAAAAGCAGCATCGGGCCTTTTGCCTCTTTTGTTCCAGGCTTTGCTTGCTTTGCTAACACCTCCTTGTGTGTGTTTGGGTTTCAGAGTCGCCAATTTATATTTCCTGTTTCTAGTTGTTCTGAACTGGGTGCCTTTGGTAGAAGCCTTCCAAAAGGAAATTACTATGCTGCCTCTGGTGGTTGTCCTTACAATTATTGCAATTAAAGATGGCTTGGAAGATTACCGAAAATACAAAATTGACAAACAGATCAACAACCTAGTAACTAAAGTTTATAGTAGGTAAGTATAACAGGAGCTATGCTGGGGAATATACATGCATCATTTAGAAACATGAAGAATGTTACTGTCCACCCCTTAGATGTGACTAGGACACTTTTGGAGGTGGAATGATGTTTTTAACTAATATTTATTAAAATCCTAGAGTGCATTTAATTCAGGACCATAGGGAAACAATAAACACATTAAACCATTGTCAACCCAGATGATGATAAAGTAAAAACTTCTACAATTTAGGTATAAGTAGAGCTGAAAGAATTAAACTTCAAACCAAAAGAAGAAAAGCAGGCAGATAGCTTTTAACCTTAGATATTTATAATTTGGGATTAAGAGGATGGGATATGAAATATATGAATGAATATGAAAAACAAGATGGGATATGAGAGAAGGTGAGTTTCTTGTGGAGGAAAGGAATTGTGAGATACAGAGAAGTGCATTCTTTTTTGTAAACAAAGCAAGAAGTCTATAAAGCCCTTCCTGTTGCAGCAGCAACTGAGGGCATTTGTAATAGGAGGACTTATAAGGAGCATGCTTGCTCTGTTGGAGACTTGTATTTCAGGTATTTATGAAATAGCCTATGTAGCCAAGATGAAGTCCATTAAGGTGAGTGTTTAACTGTGCTGTATGTTAATGATTGCATTTACAAATTTCAATGCTAGTGTCCAGAGACAACTATTTATAATGCTGTGATGTGTTCCTTGAGGTCATACATATTGTGTGTGGTAGGGAAATGTGGGACAGTTTACAAAATTTGGATTGTACTACATATATTGTTTTTATTCTATTATTTTGCCTAATTTACATCATAAATATTCCCAATGCCTTTATCCATCAAGAAAGCACTTTTAATAGCTGCATTGTCTATAATAAGACTCTAAGATAATTTAAACATTTCCCATATTTATATAATTTTGAGAATGTATGTGAGTGCTCTTATACAGAGTATTGAAGATCTGTGATTATTTCCCCATTATAATTAGGGATGGAATTAGTATATCAAAGAGGAGAATATATTTTTTAATTTATTAAAGTATAGTTATGTTAACTTCTACTGTACAGCAGATTCAGTTATACATATATAGACGTTGTTTTTCGTATTCTTTTCCACTGTAATTTACTATAGTGCTTCCCTTGTAGGTCAGTTGGTAAGTGATTTGTTATAGAATATCAAATATAGTTCCCTGTGCTGTACAGTGGGGCCTTGTTTCTTATCCTCTCTATAAGTGACAGTTTGTATCAGCCGATCTCAAACTCCGAATCCTCCTTTCTCCCACCTCCTCCCCTTGGCGGCCACAAGCTTGTTCTGTGTGTCTGTGAGCCTGTTTCCGTTTCACAGATAGATTCACTAGTGTTAGATTTTAGGTTCCATGTATAAGTGACACATCTTTTTCTTTCTGACTTAGTGTGATCTCTACCTGCCTCCATGTTGCTGTAACTGGCGGCAGCTCCTTCTTTTTGACGACTCAGTGGTATTCCCCTGCGTGTGTGTGTGTGTGTGTGAGTGTGAACATACACGTCTTACCTTCCTGTCCATCCAGTTGTCAGTAGACGCTCGGGCGGCTTCCGTTTCTTCTCTCCTGTAAAGAGCGTTGCTGTGACCATTGGGGTGCGTTGTATCTTTTCAAATTACTGTTTTCTGCGGGTATATGCCACAGAGTGGGGTTGCTGGATCATGTGGTAGCTCTGAATGGGCGACATGGTATAATTTTTTTCTCAGGTGTCCTTTGGATCTGTTTTAGATGATTTTGCATATAAACTTGAAGATGAGAGCCAATATTCTTTTCAATTGTTTTAAAGTCTAGACCGAGATACCATTTTATGATTGCATTTCATAATAGAATCTGGTAATTCTTTTTCATTTATTAACTGTTATTCTATGTAATTTGCTTAGTTTTTGGTGTTCAGAAGAAATAATACTTACATCCCAATGCCTGCCCCTCACTGTTCTTGGAACAAACTGTAACAATATAGAGAAATAAAGATTGTCTATTTATTGTTATTCATTTAAGTTAATGTACTAACTTAAATTCCTGTGAAATACAAAGAAATGACTTTAAAATACTAATTATTTCTCAGTAAAAGTACGTTGAAAATATGGGGTCATTAAATTTTGCAAGCTTTTACAAGAAGCGTTAACATTTTAATGTGGATAATTTGGTTCTTATTTGTGAAAGACTATGGTCTTTCACAAGGTGCTTAATTTTATTTGGGAAAGTATCATTGGGAAATAACAAATGCTAGAACAGAAAGTGAACATTTAAACCCTATTATATGTCAATTAAGTTAGAATGAACTATCAAAAACCTAACATTCTTAAGATTGCCTTTAAAATGGCAGCCATTTGGTAAGGTTTTAAGATTTGTTTTAAGTATATTAGAAGTGTGTTGAAAATAAAACTATTAATCATCTGACAGATTTAGGTGCCTACTGTGTTGCAGGCACTGAGAGATTTAGAGGTTTAAACAAAAAGCAAAGTGCCTGCCCTCCAGGAACTTACATTGTTTTCTGATCTTTCAAAATCACCATATTGGCGGCACTTCGGTGTGTGTACTTCGGTCCAGTCAGTTCAGTTCAGTCGCTCAGTCGTGTCCGGCTCTTTGCGACCCCATGGACTGCAGCACCCTGGGCCTCCCTGTCCATCACCAACTCCCAGAGTTTACTCAAACTCATGTCCATCGAGTCGGTGATGCCATCCAACCATCTCATCCTCTGTCGTTCCCTTCTCCTCCCACCTTGTCTTAGTTGTGTTTAACTCTTGCGACCCTTTGGACTGCAGTCCTCCAGGCTCCTCTGTCCATGGGATTTTTCAGGCAAGAATACTGGAGTGGGTTGCCATTTCCCTCTCCAGGAGATCTTCCCAACCCAGGAATTGAATCGGCATCTCCCATGTCTCCTGCATTGCAGGCGGAGTCTCTACCCACTGAGCCATCTGGGATGTTGGGAGTTTAAAAATACCAGCTGATGTTAATATTTTAACATCGCATAAATCCGTAGTATTTTCATTATTCTTGAAACTAAGTATTAGGGCCTTCTAAAGTATTAACCTTATTTATGTGTGACATTTTCCAAAGTAGTTCTTGAAATTCACTTTCTAATACATAGTTAATCTGTATTCTATTCGGTGGTCATTGGTAAGTTGTTATAACTGGCAGTAAAGTCCAGTATTTGAGAGGTGGACTCTGGAGCTACCTGCCTTGTTTTAAATCCCAGAAATATCAGAAACTGTGTGACCTTGAACTAGTTACTTAACATGTCTAAGCCAGTTTTTCTCATTTGTAAGAGGTGGGGAGTGGGGCATAGTGCATTCATAGTACCAACTATATAACATTCATATAAAAATTAAATGATTTAGGAATTGATAAAGCCTCCAATAAATCTGAGCTGCTCTGTGCCAGTGATATTCATTATTATAAATTGTTTTTAGTGTTTTCTTCAGAGAAGTACTAATGAACGTCAAAAAGAAAAATTCATTCATAATCCGATGCTTTCTTTAGATTTGTTAAAGTAGGAAGTAGCAGTCCACATTTTCCACCTTTTCACTTCTCTGCAGACAACTCCCACCAGTGGAATTACTATTAATAATCTAATGTATACTTCCCAGTTTTCTCCAGTGCTTATGTATTGACATGAAAGCTGGGCGACATTGAACAAAATGGGTCTAGAAGCAAAATGGGTAGCCTTCCTCAGCGATCAATGCAAAGAAATAGAGGAAAACAATAGAATGGGAAACTCTAGAGATCTCTTCAAGAAAATTAGAGATACAAAGGGAACATTTAATGCAGAGATGGACACAATAAAGGACAGAAATGGTATGGACCTAGCAGAAGCAGAGGATATTAAGAGAGGTGGCAAGAATACACAGAAGGACTGTACAAAAAAGATCTTCACGACCCAGATAATCATGATGGTGTGATCACCAGCCTAGAGCCAGACATCCTGGAATGCAAAGTCAAGTGGGCCTTAGGAAGCATCACTACAAACAAAGCTACTGGAGGTGATGGAATTCCAGCTGAGCGATTTCAAATCCTATAAGATGATGCTGTGAAGTTGCCACACTCAATATGCCAGCAAATTTGGAAAATGCAACAGTGGCCACAGGACTGGAAAAGGTCAGTTTTCATTCCAATCCCAAAGAAAGGCAATGCCAAAGAATGTTCAAACTACCGCACAATTGCATTCATCTCACTCACTAGCAAAGTAATGCTCAAAATTCTCCAAGCCAGGCTTCAACAGAACTGGAAATGGATTAACAGACTGGTTCCAAATCAGGAAAGGAGTACATCACGGCTGTATATTGTTACCCTGCTTGTTTAACTTTTATGCAGAGTACATCATGAGAAATGCTGGGCTGGATGAAGCACAAGCTGAAATCAAGATTGCCGGGAGAAATATCAATCACCTCAGAAATGCAGATGACACCACCCTGATGGCAGAAAGCAAAGAAGAACTAAAGAGCCTCTTGATGAAAGTGAAAGAGGAGAGTGAAAAAGTTGGCTTAAAGCTCAACATTCAGAAAACTAAGATCATGGCATCTGGTCCCATCACTTCATGGCAAATAGATGGGGAAACAGTGATAGACTTTATTTTGGGGGGGCTCCAGAATCATTGCAAATGGTGACTGCAGCCATGAAATTAAAAGATGCTCCTTGGAAGAAAAGTTATGACCAACCTAGACAGCATATTAAAAAGCAGAGACTACTTTGTCGACAAAGGTCCATCTTGTCAAAGCTATGGTTTTCCCAGCTGTCATGTATGGATGTGAGAGTTGGACCATAAAGAAAGTTGAGAGCCAAAGACTTGATGCTTCTGAACTGTGGTGTTGGAGAAGACTCTTGAGAGTCCCTTGGACTGCAAGGAGATCCAACCAGTCAATCCTAAAGGAAATCAGTCCTGAATATTCATTTAAGGACTGATGCTGAAGCTGAAACCCCAATAATTTGGCCACCTTTTGCGAAGAACTGACTCATTTGAAAAGACCCTGATGCTGGGAAAGATTGAAGGCAGGAGGAGAAGGGGATGACAGAGGATGAGATGGTTGGATGGCATCACCGACTTAATGGACGTGAGTTTGAGTCAATTCCGGGAGTTGGTGATATACAGGGGAGGTCTGGCGTGCTGCCGTCCACGGGGTCGCAATGAGTTGGACACGACTGAGCAACTGAACTGGGCTGATTGAATTTGCCTGAAGGATGGATCATAAGTGCTGTATTCTTACCAGTGAGAGTAATGCAGAAGCAACAGATAACAAGTAGATGCTAGAAATTCTAGCTGTACACTTAGGCTGTAAGGAAGAAAAAAGTTTCTACTAGTTTTAGTTCTCTGTCCAAGAAGGAAATACAAACTCATTTTGAGTCTACCACATTGATAAATTTTCAAAGCTAGTTAAGATTGGCAGTGAATATTGTCACTTATCTTGCAATTGTGAAGCATCGTACAGGCCCATACCCGTGGTGTTATGTGTCCACTCTCACTCTGAGAGGTACACTATCCCACTTTCTTCACATGACTCACTCTAGATCATCCTGCAAGACCCACCTTCTCCAGAGCTAAATGTCCCAACTACTTGCTCCCAAAATAGCCTGTGCAAACCTATCTTATAAAATTGCTGTTTGTGTCTCTTTTTAAATTTTTGACTATAGCTTTCTAGAGGAATGACCATAAATTAATCACCTTTATATTCTTAGCATCTAACATGGTAACTGGCATAAATTAAGGTCAGTTACAGCTCAGTGGCAAAGAATCTGCCTGCCAATGCAGGATACACAGGTTCAGTCCCTGGGTTGGGACGATCCCCTGGAGGAGGAAATGGCACCCTCCACCATTGTTCCTGCCTGGAAAATCCCATGGACAGAAGAGCCTGATGGGCTCCAGTCCATGAGGCCTCAGAGAATCGGATACCACTGAGCGACTGAGCACAGACACAGCTAGCTATTGGGGAAATTAGCTGCTTTTTACAATCTAGTATGAACTCCAAATGGGGAATAGTAAAGTTAATTCAGCTGTAAAATTAACCTCGTTTGGGTTTTGTTCCAATGTAGAGTGGAGAGTAGTAAACTTTTCCCTTAGAAGAATTCTCTTTATCAGGTTTGAAAGAAAAATAAAATCCTTAACCCTAGTGTTCACGTCTGTCTGCTCGCCCTAGTTTCAGAGATTGTCAGCAACTTTCCTTATGCCTTTCTTCCCAGAGAAAGTAGTGTCCATTAAGCGAGCATTAGGTGTCTGAGTTCCTTCTTACATCGTCTTCACCTGCTTGCTTCTGACTTTACATGAAGCAGCAACTCCGTTCCTTGTAGTAGTAGTCCTTTCATCTGCGTTCTTCACTCCATTCCTCGTTACTTCTCGATGGCTTCCACCAACACTCCCTATTCTCTCTTCTCCCGCAACCTTGCCGTCTCCACGGGCTTCTGCCCTGCATGCTGTGTGTGTGACCGGTTCTCTTGTTTCTTGCCCCGCTCTTTCATCCTTATTGTCCTCTGCCTTCCCTTCCCTTGCAGTGGGTGCTTTCACCCTTTATCCTTTAAGAGCTAAACTTCATGAAATAGACTCCTTCAGCTTCTAATCATGCCTTAACCCACTGGAGGTCTCACTTTCTTCTTCACTCTCCATGTCAACAATTTCATATTCTCTACTTAATAGCAGACCTCCTAATAACCATGTACCACAGACATGACCCCTTTCTGGCTTTTGTTACTCTGATGACTCCCTTTAAAAAGTTTTTATTTATTTTTAATTGAAGGATAATTGCTTTATAGAATTTTGTTGGTTTCTTCCAGACATCAACATGAGTCAGCAGCAGGTATGCGTATGTCCCCTCCCTCTGGCGCCTCCCCCGTCTCCCTGCCCATCCCACCCCTCTAGGTGGTCACAGAGCCCCTGTTTGCGTTCCCTGAGGCATACAGCAAATTCCGGTTGGCCGTCTGTCTGACATGTGGTGATGTAAGTGTCCACGTTTCTGTCTCCACACATACCGCCCGCTCCTTTCCCCTCCCCCGCCCACCGTGCTCATGAGTCTCCTCTGTGCGTGGTAAAAAAATACCATTCACCATGAAGGTTTGAAACCACAGCATCGTGCCTGATGACTTCTCTGTGTTTAATAAGTCAGAAAACTTACTTGTCTCTCATACCCAAATATGTCTAAATTTAATCTCATTTTATCCATCCTTTTTGCTACTGTCTTGATTGTAATCATCTTTATCCCTGCCCTGAATTATTTCAATATCTTTCCATTGGTTTCTTGCCATTTCTATTTCTAATCAGCCTGCCACCCACCCAGCAGTCCATCCATTACTCTGTAGCAGGACTTAGCAAGTAGAAATAGGATCATATTCTTCTATGAACCTTTAGTGATTTTCCGTTATTTTTTTTTTTTTTTATGAAATGAAAATCCTTGTTTCTAGAAATGGCAATAGGACTGAACCTTCAAAATATGATTGCTGCCTACCTTTTGGGTCTTCCGTTTCTTCCTGTCATGGAAGAGTAAACTGATATATTCAAACACTAGAGAAACTGTTAAAGCAAACTGCTGGTTTGTCTTTCGTGGTAATAACTAGCAGACTCTTCAGGGAATTAGGGAATTCTTTTAGTTGGATTCAGCTTTGTACATAAGGTATTTTGGGACAATATATCCTGAAAATATTCTTCTTAGGTAGCCCTTTGGATGAATTATTTCTTGAAATAAAAATATAATTCTGCGTAGCAGAAGTATATGTGTTGGCTTAATGTGGCATTTCTATTTAATATGATGCATTCATTTTTAATATATAGGTCATATAGCTTTTACAATATAGCTATCTCCTAAGCTTCTTGACAATGAATTTGAATATTTAGCTCCATAATAGAAAATAAATCTTTATTTTAAAAATAAGTGCCTTTTTATGACAAATACTAGTTCTTTACAGATACATGGGAGACAATAAGGAAATGAGACAGATCTTTCTAAGACGTTGTTGGAATCATTGGATGCGAAATGCTGCTTAACTAGTTACACAGTTTTCTATGATACAAACTTCCTATTCTCCTCTTAAGGAAAATGCTTTGTGGAATCCAATTCATGCCATTTTTTTTATGAAAAGCCATGAGAAGTTTGGTAAAACTTTAACACAAAGCAGGACATTTAAGGCAAATCAACCTCAATTAATGTGCCTTTCTTTTAAAAAGAATTGAATATATAGAATGAAAAAACTGCACTTTTAGAACAGGTTAAAAATTCTCATTTTCCTTTCTCGGGATCAGCTATAGCCAACTCAGAACTGTTTTAACCAGTATTTCTATTAAATGATAATTAGGGGTCTTAATGGGGTTTCCCAGATGGCTCAAGTGGTAAAGAATCCGCCTGCCAGTGCAGGAGATGCAGGAAACAGGGGTTCAGTCCCTGCGTTGGGAAGATCCCCTGGAAAAGGAAATGGCAACACACTCCAGTATGCTTTTCTGGGAAATCCTATGGACAGAGGAGTCTGGCAGGCTAAAGTCCCCGGGGTCGCAAAGAGTTGGACACAACTTAGTGACTGAATACATAGACCGCAGGTGTCAATATGCTGGTATAGTGATTTTTTAGCTGTCTGGGCATTATTTTACGTCTTTTGAGTTTATTTTACTCATCCTGTCTACCATCTGAGAAGCTCTCCAAGAGCAGATAATGTGTCTTTGGCACTTTTGGGTCCTTGATATCTGACATGGGGGGCACACAGGAATTGCTTCATTTATGAATAAACCCTCCAGTGTTAACTTTATTCCAGAGTCACTCAATTAACATAATGGTTCAAAATCTCACAGGAAAAAGAGAATTGAAAAAATATCTTTTGGATTCTTAGTAACTAAATTTTCAGATGAAGCAAGTTGTGGAATTTAAGTTTTACAAATTCTCCGGCTTCCCCTTGTAACATTTAATGGATTAAAATCACCCTAATACTTTAAATTATAAACTAAAATTTTAAATAAAGCTATTATGTGAGTTTGGGGCTTGAGATTCTTTTTAAACTTTTTTTTTTTTTTTCGATTTTAGGAAAGAGAAAAAATATGTGGACAGATGCTGGAAAGATGTTACTGTTGGGGACTTTATTCACCTTTCCTGTAATGAGGTCATTCCTGCAGATATGGTTTTACTCTTTTCCACTGATCCAGATGGAATCTGTCACATTGAGACTTCTGGTCTTGATGGAGAGAGCAATTTAAAACAGAAGCAGGTGGTTCGGAGATATGCAGAGCAGGTAAAAAATGTGTTCTCCATTGGTGATATTAACATTTTCTTTTCAAAAATAAAACAAAATAGCTCAACTGGAAAAAAAAACTATAAAAATAACATTTTCTTTTCAGAAGATGACTGAGCTCATTTTCACACGTATAGATAAAATGATGTTTCAAATTTATTTTTACCTTTACAAAATAGAAGTCTCGAGGGCTTCATGTAATTCCAGGTATCAGTAAAAGTATGTCATACTTCATAGGTAATAGGATATAATGACCTCAGAGTTCAGACATTTCATTCTGACAATCATATTTCTGGTAATTGAATTTACAAAACCTAACAGTTTTGGAAAATTCTTTTGTAATAGAAATGATGATCAACTTCTATTTTTCTTAAGCTTCTATTTGTATGTTGTTTTATTAAAGCTGGAGATATCATTTGGTCATTGTTCCTAAAATTTGGCAATTACTTATGTATCGAGGCCTTTTAAGACTTTCATAATGTCTCATGCCACAGAGCTCTGACTCTTCACGTGCTGTGGAGAGGGAAATAAGAACTTTGCATTTATATTAACAAGTTTCAGTAAAATTCAAACAGTTCTGTCATTTAATTATTGTGTGATTTTGGGGAGGTCACTTAAATACTTTATGCCTCAGTTCATTTATCTTAAAGTAGAAATGATGACACCTCCCTCATAGCCTGTTGTATGACAAAATGAAGTATTATATATATAAAAACATCATGGAATGTGCCTATCAGTTTTCCTTTCCTTTCTTTGGAAGCACTTAAAATGAGGTATTTTAAAATGTAACTTTTTTTTTTTTAACTTCCATTAAGTCACGTTTCTTACAAACCAAAAATATCGTAATCTCATAATACCCTTATTTTTGGTAAATTCGATCTTGTCACATTAAGTCCATCTTTCTACCTGTAGATTAATTGAGATCCTCTGTGATTGTTATGCCTCTCAACTTCCTGTCATTGTCACATTTGTAAGCATTTTCACACTTTAAACATTGGTAAAAATACTCTACCACTTGGAAAATACATGCCACTAAATACCTACTTTGAGGGGTGATACCAGTTGATTAATCATACTTTACATTCAGTTAAGGGTAAGCTTTCCAGACTCTGATGGCCTCAGTTATAATCCTGACTCTAAAAACCTTCTTGTTTTGAAAGCTTTAGCAAATTACTGGTCCTCTTTGTGTGTATCTTTCCTCATCTGTTAATTAGGCCTAATTATACTATCTAGTGAAGAAGAAAATAGTTAAGATGTTTAAAGGGCATAATATAGATTCTAACTCATTAGAAGAACTCAGTAAATATCAATTATTAGCAAGCCAAATCACACGATCATATGGCTCATATTTTTCAAATGTTTGCTGATACACATATCAATACTTTGAGATATATCAGTAGCATTTATCTTATTGTCCAAAAAACTGTATAAAAAAGGAAAGGAAATAAAGTTGATGTGGCTTATTCTTAGTGAATCCATGCATTATAGAAGCCTATTTTCTGTAAGACTCTGTGTATTCACTTGCTGATTTCATAAAGCATTTTAAAATTATTTTTTGACCTATTACAGAGTTTTATGAGATATATCTATATTTACTTTTTTAAATAAAATTTGCTGAGGTTAAATGCATGCATGCTCAGAGTACTTATATACATGTATGCATGCATGCTAAGTCACTTCAGTTGTGTCTGGCTCTTTGTGACCCGATGGACGGTAGCCCTTCCTCTGTCCCTGGGATTCTCCAGGCAAGAATACTGGGGTGGGTTGCTGTGCCCTCCTCCAGGGGATCTTCCTGACCCAGATTGAACCTGTACCTCTTATGTTTCCTGCATTAGCAGGTGGGTTCTTTACCACTAGTGCCACCTGGGAAGCCTGTATTACATGCGTGTGTGTGTGTGTGTGTGTGTAGATATATACTTAATCTCAGAAACTACCTATATGGTTAAACAACAATAAGAAAAGTATTTTCAGCTTTTCCGTGTCTCCCGGCTAAAAGAATGTGTTTTGTAGGAGAAGCTCCCTCCTGCAGGTAGTCCTGCCTGAATTTCAGTGTACGGTTCAGACATTCTCATCACCTGAAAATATTTATTAATTCTCTAGGACCATTCTCATCTTACCTATTCATTCATAATTATGTATGTACTTTCCTTCATTTGGGCAATTTGTGACATATATTTTGTGACATGAATACCTTAGTTTTATCTTAATTGGCGAAAGGATAAACACTTAAATCTCAAGATTTAACCTTTAATTTTTGTGTGGTAATTTTTCAAATATATATGTTTTTAGGACTCTGAAGTTGATCCTGAGAAATTCTCCAGTAGGATAGAATGTGAAAATCCAAACAATGACCTCAACAGATTCCGAGGCTTCCTGTGAGTGATACAAGACTTTCCTTTGTGGGTGTGAGTGGAATTGTATATTGTAGTTATATTTAACTTAAAAAAAAAACTTTTGTGTTCTTATAACCAAGTTAAATCACTAAAGGCTGTAAGTTAAGCCACCTATAAATTTGGCTTATTTTAATTATTTGATAAATATTTACCTTTGTATATTTTTAAAACAACAACAAAATCTTGTTCTTAAAATAACTCTAGAATCTCTTTCAGTAATATATGAATGATTTACATGAGCTCCATGTTAAGCCCAAGACATGTTAGTTATTTGGAAGAAAGTGTTTGGACAGACGTGGCAGCTTAAGTGACCTGACAGGATGGTGTCCTTCTGTCCTATTGGAATTAGAGTAGGTGGGCAACTCAGCTGGTAAAAGTTAGCCAATGACTTTGAAACACATCTAAGAAAAAGTGTGGGAATCCACAACAGCGTCCATCTGGAGGCTTCCTATGGCGTCTGCATCCCTTTCCAATGGAAGCTAGAATTTAGGGCCTTAGCTGATTCTGGCTGGCTTCTGCCACTTAAGTGGTTTATTTTTTGATCCAAGTTACTGACTCTTTTTATCCTTCCTGATGTTTAAGAGAAATCAATTAGTGGTGATCTTATAAGAAGATGGCAGAGGAAAAAAAAGTTCCTAAATCATCTTTTGACACCAGAATCATCCTGATGCCATTACTTGATACCAAATAAATACAGAGACATTTAAAGGAAGATTTATAGCCCTTATGAACATAGATGCAAAAACTTTACACAGATTAATAGCAAATCAAACCAAACCCAACAATATATAAAGAGGAAAGTAATAATGATTCAGTAGGACTTATACCAAAAATGCGGTGTTGGCTTAACATTAGAAGATCAAACAATGTAATTTATAATATTAGCAAACCATAATTAACAAATGAAAAAGAAACACCAGGTGAGAATCTCCTGGACATAGAAAAACTTTGACGAAATCTAACTTTCGGTTTTGCACGCTGACAGCAGAAGGAGGCTTTCCCTTTTTGCTGACGGGCGCCCATGAGGCCACACGGCCAGCATCAAGCTTCGTGTGCTGTGTGCTCCATTGCTCAGTTGTGCCCGGTGCTCTTTGAATCCATGGACTGTAGCCTGCCAGGCTCCTCTATTCATGGAAATTCCTCAGACAAGAATACTGGAGTGGTTAACAGTGAAGGATTCAACATCTTTCCCCTAAGATCAAGAACAAGACATGAATATTGTCTCTTAACACTTCTATTCAAGGAGATCCTAGCTAATGTAAAGAAAATGAAATAAAAGCAGCAAGTGATAAAGTAGTGAAACTGTCTTTTATTTATTGATGATAATGATGGTCTTTGTAGAAAATGTGATGAAATCTATTAAAAAGCAACTGGAATTAATAGTTTAGCAGTGTTGTAGGAAATATCAATATAAAAATATTAATTGTATTTCTATACATACCAAAGAACATTCAGATATCGAAACTTTAAAAAAAATCAATTTATAATAGCATCAGAAAAAATACTTAAGAGTAAACCAGAAAAAAGATATGAAAGACCTACATGTTGAAAACCACTGAACATGGTTGAGATAAACTAAAGATGTAACTAAATGGAGACACATTTGTTGTTCATGCATTAAAACTCAGTATTGTCAGTTTTTCCCCCAAAATTGATCTGTGGGTTCAGTGTAATCCCAATTGAAATTCCAACAAAGTTTTTTATTTTTGAAAGTGAAAGTCGCTCAGTCGTGTCTGACTCTTTGCCACCCTATGGACTATACAGTCTGTGGAATTCTCCAGGCCAGAATACTGGAGTAGGTAGCCTTTCCCTTCTCCAGGAGATCTTCCCCACCCAGGGATCGAACCCAGGTCTCCCACATTGCAGGTGGATTCTTTACCAGCTGAGACACAAGGGAAGCCAAAGAATTCTGGAGTGGGTAACCTATCCCTTCTCCAGGGGATCTTCCTGACTCAGGAATCAAACTGGGGTCTCCTAGCATTGCCGGTGGATTCTTTACCAACTGAGCTATCCGAGAAACCTGCCCCCCGACCTATTTTAAATTTCATTTTTAGAAACTGGCAAGTTTATTCTAAAAATTTATATTCTAAAACTACTTTGAAAAAGAAGAACAGATGTGGATGGCTAAGACCACAAGATTTTGTGTTTGACATAATGATAGACCAGTAGGTCAGTGGAGTAGATTAGAGTCCAGAAATTGGTCCAGACATTCATGGGCAACTGGATTTTTACAAAGATGAAAAAGCAGTTTAGTGGAGAAAGGTTAGTTGTTTCAACTAATAATGCTGCAACAATTATACATCTATATTCAGAAAAATAAACTTCAACACAGACATCTCACCACCAAGATTAATCACCAAGATTAACTAAAAATGGATCCTGTACTTCAATGTAAACCTGAAATTATAATACTCCTAGAAGGAAACATAGGGGAAATCTTTGCTATCTTGTGTTAGTCAAAGATTTCTTAGGTATAACTCCAAAAGTGCAATTCATAAAAGGACAAGAGTAATTAAATAACTTCATCAGTATTAGAAACTTATTATCTTCAAATGACACTGCTAAATGAATGAAAGCTTACGTTTTCATTCAAACTGGAAGAAAATAGTTTGCAGCGTGTATATCTCATGTAGAAATTGTGTTCAGAATATATGTCTTTCTTTTTTACTAAATAAAATGTCTTTATTATTTGGTTGTTCAATAAGCAAATGAACAATACAGTTTTTAAATAATCGAAAATATTGGACTTCACAAAAGACAATACATGGATGATAGATATCTGTGTGAAAAGATGCAAGTTAAAGCCTTAGGAGTGTAACTCCTCAAATAAAAGGACTGACTGTACCAACTTTTCACAAGAATGTAGAGAAACTAGAATATGCATATACTGCTGGTGGGAATGGAAAAAGCACAATCACTTTAGAAAATAGTTTGGACATTTCCTAAAAAATTAAAGTACACACCAACTTTATGATCTGGTTATTCTACTCATACGTAGTCACTCAAGGGAAAACACTTATCCATATACTAATGTGGACACTGATTTTCAGAGCTGCTTTGTTTGTAACAGCCCCAAGTATTCCATCAACAGGTAAATGGATAAACAAGTGATAGAGCCATACAATGAATACTGCTCTGCAACAAAAAGAAATTCCCTAGTAATATATGCAGCAACATGGATGCATCTCAAAATGATGTTGAGTGAAAGAAGCCAGACAAAAAAGAATATATACTGTATGATTTGATTTATGTAATTTCTCAAAAAAGAAAGCTGATTCAGAATGATAGAGAGCAGATAGTGGGTGCCTGGGTGAAGGAGGAGAGGAAGAAAAGATTACAGAAACACATCAGGAAACCGTAGGAAGTGATGGATATGTTCATTTTTCTAATTGGAGTCATGCTTTCACAGGGGAAACATGTCAAAACATCAAATTTTGCACTTTAAATGTGTACAGTACATGTATTTACTGTATGATTCTTGTTATTCTTCAATCAAGTTGTTTAAAATTTTAGAGAACTGTCAAGATGGAAGTTTAGAACATAGTAGTAGCATCTTTAAGTAGCATCTGGTACAGATGGATGTTGGGAGGGACAGGAAGCTGTGCAGTTGGAAAAGGGAAAGGATTTAGTCCAGATAAAGAGATAATGCCATACTTAAACCATCAAAAATAAGAAGATACCAAGGCAGACAACTAAATACAAAGAATGACTGACGTTCTAGGTAAAAGGACCAACATGGGTAATGACACAGGGGCCTGAGACCACAGTGCATTTGTGGAGTCATAAGTGGTTTAAGTATGTTTGGAGGGTAGGTGAGCAATATAGTAGATCATAGAGAGGCGAGATGATGAAGGGAAGTTAGCAGGTGATCCTGCCATCAGAAACATGCTCATAAGTTTAAGAAGAATAATTTTCTAGTATCATTTTCTCAACTGCTGACTATTTATACAATTTCCTGTTGTAATTGGAAGATTTAGGGGTTGTCATTTTTTCTGACCTGGACTTCCAACACCTGAGGTCCAGGTCAAAAAATACCTTAGAGTCCAGTTTGTACAGCCCCTTACTGGGAATGCTGACTCCCCTGACAAGCTCAGACTGGGTTCTGGCACAATTCTGGACAGAAAAGAATAGAACTGTAGACTGTTTCTGTGTGGTCTGGAATATAGTACTCTGCACAGAATCTGAGTCAGAGCGTGCGTATTTAGTAGTCAGCCCAGGTGGATACAGTAATTTTTTGTGAAATAGTTTTTGTCTGCTGAACTAGATCCTTACATTTTTCCTGCTTTGCAGCCTGTTTTCTAAAATGAACAGAAATTGAGATGCTCAGGCTCACTCTGTATTCTTGATGGCTCCTCTGACCCTCTTACCCTCAGGTAGCCCTGACTTTTCCCTATTTGTGCCCATGTTGTATGCTGAACATCAGATTTCTATCATAATAACTATACTATTGTTACTATACTTAGACATTTCTATATGAATCACCACCTGTTAAACCACAGAGGCCAAGACTATCTAAGTTTTTCTGTTCTCAGCATTCAGGTGGGTGTGCTGGGTATATGGTACATGTTATATAGACTCTTGAATGGATGAAGGCTGTAATTGGACATTCCGTGTCTTGCACAGAATCTGAAGGTCTCATATCATACATGCCAAATGCACACTCATCGAGTGCAGGTTGTGTTTAGAATTTGGAGCCAGTACAATCAAAATAAAAGTTGGGCTTTCATGTAAAGGTGGTAAACCAGAGTGATGTAATGGTGAAAAATGAGGATCCCAAGGTAAAAATCTTAATACACTAAGAAATTTTGTAACTGATGCTTTTGTGTATTATATCTGTTCCTGTAAAGGTTCTAGGAATAATAAATGCTATGTTGTTGAGGAGCCTAATCAAGCCTGAGAATGCTACATGGGAATGTAAATATTGGGGTTAATTTCCTCATCTGTAAATCCAGGAAGTATTGATAAAATTAGGTTAAACCCAAGGACATTGCTGGTTCTGACTGTGACCTCATGGGTCTCTCTTTGTGCATAAACCCATATATATGAAGGAATGTAAACACACACCTCTTAAAAGAAAATGCTTTGCAAGTTAGAGGAGTAAAATAACCAAACAGATTTGTCTATTTTCTTACTCATTTGGAGAGTAGGAAAGCTCTTCAAACTTCTCTTGGAGAGCTTTCTTTTTTCTTTTCCTTGCAAGATAGCATGGATAGCAGATACACTGACAATTTCCCTATATATAACAAAGAGGAAACAACTCATAGACTGAAGTATGTTGCTTAGAAAATAAACTGACCTTAATGCTGAAATTTAGTGTGCGTTTTCACAAAATATGTGAAATACCTGGCTTTTTGCTTATTTTTAAAAAGTTTCCAATGAGTTTGCTCTGCATTTTTACCACTATAGTAAAATTAAATCAGGTGATTAAGTAGATTATTTTAAAGCTGTTTATTACAGAAGATTTCCAAATATGCAGAAGTAGGAAGGAGAGTGTGATGAGCATCATGGGCCCCCCCAGTTGTAGCTGTTTATAATTTGCCCTCCTCCCACTTCCTTCCCTGTATGCCTCCGCAGCACATCATTTCACCGTAAATACTTCACTATGAATGCACAACAGAAAAAATCTTTATAGAAAAATAGTCATACCATCATTATAACATTTAAGTAAATTAAGAACAATCGCTTGGTAGTATCTAATACCTAGTCTTTGTTTACATTTCTCTAATTGTCTCAAATTTTTTTATAGTTAATATATTCTAACCAGGATCAAAACAAAGGTGTACATGTTGCATTTAGTTGGTATGTCTCTAAATTCCCCCTCCCAGTCCCTCCGCCACTGCTGCCCCCTTCCCCCAGCTCCCCTCTCCCCCGCCCCCCACATGCCACTCACTTGTTAAATAGACCAGATCGTTTTGCCTGCAGAGGTTACCCTGCAGATTTCATAGATTTGGCCAGCTGCATCCTTGGGTGATGGTTTGTTTCCTGAAAACTCATCACAGACATTTAGAACCTGATGAAAGAAATACTGTCCAGAAAATGACAAATGTGTATGAATGTACATACATAGACACACACAGGGAAATGTTGTATACAGTTTCAGAGGCTTCACAGATCCCCTGATGCCACAGACCCCTGTTTGATTCATCCTCATAGAAGCTTGATTAGATTCCCAGGGGTATGAGCAGCTTCTGTCCCTAAACTTCTGGAGGCCTTGATGTCCTGTAGTTACGTTAAGATGGGTATTGTCAGCCTTACCCTTTCATTATAAGGTTCCCCACCAGCCTTCTACCTAATAATTTTAGTAGCCACTATTATTGCCCAAGGATAATCCTTGATTTCACCAGGACCGAGGTAGGAAGTTTCTAATTCCATTAAGAACTTTTCCCTTATCATTAGGAACTTTTCCCTCATCAGCTATTAAGTTACTCCCAAATTCAGTTTCTACTGTAGAAAGTAGTCTTCTTACTTGGATTGCCTTTCAGTTTTTGTAGTACTAGTAGTCAGCAAACAATGAATGAGAGAAAACAGCGTTAGAAACCTGCTGTGTCTTTTTTTCCCAGCCAAAGTGGGAAATAACTAGAGGACGTACATCAAGATTTGAAGCTTTTCCTGTGAACTGCTTAACGTTATACTCCGATCAAGAAAGCTCAAAATTCATAGTGTTTATTTTTACATTCCCACTTTTGCTATTTAAAAATAAATCTATATGCTGTCTTTTTTATAGAGAACATTCCAACAAAGAACGCGTGGGTCTCAGTAAAGAGAATTTATTACTTAGAGGATGCACCATTAGAAACACAGAGGCTGTCATGGGCATTGTGGTTTATGCAGGTTGGTTACCTTCTGACTTTTCACCATCATCTCCTCTGTGCTTTTCTGCAAGTTAACATTTTCTACTTATTCAAAGCAGTCTCTAGCAGCAGAAAGGAAATTTTGTCTTGATAATCATTTTTCTCTGTTTTTCTAAGTGGATCATGAAGGGAAACTAAATTTAACCAAGTGTGTTACATAACTACTTTTCATTAAACTGTCTGCCAGAGAGATGTAAAAACACGATGTTTGCTACTTGGCTTTGATTTCCACATATTCTGAACATTGTGTCACCCACGTAGGCCATGAAACCAAAGCAATGCTGAACAACAGCGGGCCAAGATACAAGCGCAGCAAATTGGAAAGAAGAGCAAATACAGATGTCCTCTGGTGTGTCCTGCTTCTGGTTATAATGTGCTTAACTGGTGCATTGGGTAGGTGGAATTTTATTATTTGCTGACATCTTTCCCTCAAGATATTCATTTTAAAGTATTACATTTTCAAAATGATATTTATGAATTTAAGTTTGACTCCAGTAAGTGCGGATGGTTATTTGCCAATAACTATTTTCTTCACATCTTCATCTCTCTCACTCTCTGATTTGAAAAGCATTAGTAATTGGCTACATGTGGCCACAGCTTTAAAGGGACCTGGGAGGAGATGTAAAGAGAGAGAGGCAGAGGCAGGAGAACGTGCAGTCTTTTGAATTCGAATTTGTTTCTCAAACACCTGGTGTTCGACAAAAATAAATACTATCATTTCTCTTTCTTTAGAAATGAAGTTTTATATTTGCATAATATATACATCACATCCTTTTGATGTCTGTGCATTTTTTGAAAGGTCATGGAATCTGGTTGAGCAGATATGAAAACATACCCTTTTTTAATATCCCTGAGCCGGATGGACATACCGTATCACCAGTGTTGGCGGGTTTCTATATGTTCTGGACCATGATCATTCTGTTACAGGTAATGTCTGCTGAGCTCATCATGCAGTTTTAAGATCTCTGCTACTTACCCAGCTCCATTTGGCTTTTCATTCGTTCTTTTCTCCCTTTAACGTTTTTAAAATTGTTTGGTTCTTCTTAGGTCTTGATTCCTATTTCTCTCTATGTTTCCATTGAAATTGTGAAGCTTGGACAGATATATTTTATTCAAAGCGATGTGGATTTCTACAATGAGAAAATGGGTTCTACAGTTCAGTGCCGAGCCCTGAACATCACTGAGGATCTTGGACAGATTCAGTACCTCTTTTCTGATAAAACAGGAACCCTCACTGAGAATAAGATGGTTTTTCGAAGATGTAGTGTGGCAGGCTTTGATTACTGCCATGAAGAAAATGGTGAGTGTTGAGTTTCTGTAAGATCAGCCTTCAGGTTTGTCTTTTTTGCATCCACTTAACAGTTTGGTAATTCTGGCACAGAAGTGCGATATTTAATCCTTGTGTACTGAATTCCCCCAGATGCTCATAGAGTTTCATTTTGTATCTTTAAAAGTTAGTAGGTCAAAAGTTAGTCAAGAGTTGGTGGGTTAGAGTCTGCTTCCGTGGTTTTTTTTGACCATGGTTTCTCTGAAAGGAAAGGAAATTGCTAGCAGTTGTGGAAGGTTTGGGGTTAGATACGGTGTCAGTGATCCTGCGTTACAGATATTTTTGAGAATCTCATTAAACTCTGTGGACCATGTGTGTGTTAGTCACTCAGTTGTGTCCGACTCTTTGTGACCCCAGGGTCTGTAGCCCACTAGGCTCCTCTGTTCATGGGATTCTCCAGGCAAGAATACTGGAGTGGGTTGCCATTCCCTTCTTCCTATGGACCATATCCCTTAAAAAATATTTTTTTATTTTTTTTAGTGCTCGGAGCTGGTGCACTGGGAAGACCCAGAGGGATGGGATGGGGAGGGAGGCGGGAGGGGGGATCGGGATGGGGAACACATGTAAACCCATGGCTGATTCATGTCAGTGTATGGCAAAAACCACTACAATATTGTAAAGTAATTAGCCTCCAACTAATAAAAATAAATAAAAAAAAGTAACTATAATTAAAAAAATATATATATTTTTAAAATAATTCCAAAGGGACGACAGTCTTCCCTTACCCCATCATGCAGCCCATAGGTAACCGTTGGTCCCTGGCTAAGAATACCTATTTTAAGGAGAAATAAGATGAGTAGAACTTTTGAGGCTAAGGAAGTAAATACATAAATTGCAAGTTTTCTTTTAAGAATTGAACTTCATTAATTTTATTATTTGCAAAAGTAAATATACTCTTATAAAAATAATTCTGAGTCGTGTCCAAAACAAATTAACCTAGAGGTGAACCACTGTTAATAATTTGAATACATAACTATCCATTTCTTTATGTATATCCTTATATATGTGAAAATAAATATTTGCACATTTCTGTTATAAGTTATGTAATAATATTGCTTTGCAATTTGCTTTTTTTATTCTTCAGTACATCATGGGCTTTTTTCTAAGTCAGTTCAGGCATTAACATGAAATTCATAGTATCGCGTTGTACATGATCAAGCTTAGTTTGCTATTATAGCAGTGTGTGTGTGTCTGTGTAAGTCTATGCAGTTGTGTGCGGCTCTTTGTGACCCCACAGACTGTAGCCCTCCAGACTCCTCTATCCATGGGATTCTCCAGCAAGAATTCTCACGTGGGTTGCCATGTGCTCCTCCAGGGGATCTTCCCAGCCCAAGGACTGAACCTGTGTGTCTCTTGTGTCTCCTGCATTGGCAGGCGGGTGCACTCAGCTGGTAACAAATCCACCTGCAATGCAGAAGAAGGGTTCGATCCCTGGGCTGGGAAGATTCCCTGGAGAAAGGAAAGGCTACCCACTCTGGTATTCTGGCCTGGAGAATTCCATGGACTGTATAGTATAGTCCATGGGGTCACAAACAGTTGGACACAACTGAGCGACTTTCACTTTCTTTACCACTAATGCCATCTGGGAAGCCCATTATAATTATAAAACTTGCAATTAACATCACTTATTCATTCAACAAATATTTTGTGAGCTCATAACATGTGACATGAGTTTCTGATGTAGCTTAGAGTTTAAGGCAAGAAGATAGACAAGATGAAAAATTATAATGTACAAAATAAAGTTCCTCATGCAGTATCCATTTCTGTACACATATCTAAAATTGGTTTTGCTAGATCCAGAAGTATGCACATATAGAATTTTTATAGATCCCACAAAATTTATCTCTAAAGCTTTGTGCTAATTTATATTCTTACAACCCAGAAGAATAATATCTATTTTTCATACCCAACCATAATGGGATGAAGCTATTCTTTTTAATTTGTGAGTTTTGTAGATGCAGTTAGCATTTCATTGTCTTAATTTTTCTATAATTAACAATGAGGTGCTAACTTTTTATGTTTTTAGCCGTTTGAATTTCCTTGACAACGTCTTCCTGTTTTACATGTCTTCCTATTTTACAAATGAGTTTTTCTTATTCTTAGTAATCTGTGGGAGGATTTTATCTATTAAGGCAGGGTTGATATTCAGCTTGTATGTCCCTGTCTAGGTTGTCTCTGGCCAGTGTCCATTTTCATTTGTGCACTTGTATTGAACCTTTGTTCGATAATTTGAATTATTTGAAAAACAATAATTTGAATACCAATGCTGACATAATTCTTTTCTTCTACATGTGGCAAATACTTCTCTGATTTGTTATTTACCACTGTATTAGTTTTGTATTGCCACATAACAAGTTACCACAAATTTGAGGGCTTCAAATAACATATACTGTCTTATAGCTTCTGTGGGTCAGGAATATGGGTTCAGGTGGCTGTGTCCTCCCTGAGTCTCTCACCAGGCTGAAATCTAGGGGTTGGCTGGGGCTGTGATTTTATCTGAGGCTCAGGGTCGTCTTCTTAGTTCCCCAGTTTTGGAATTGTCAGAGTCTTGAGGTTGTAGGACTATGGCCCTTGTATTCTTGCTGGCTGTCAACTTGGGTCTGTTCTGAGTTCATGGAGATAGCCCATCATTCCTTGCCCCGTGACCTCTGCACAGTGTGGCAGCTGCTCTTCAAGGCAAGCAGCAGAACCTCTAGCTTTGGATTTCTCTGACCTCAGGGATGTTCTGCCACCTCTTTTTACTTGATGAGGTCATACCACTCTGAGTGGACCACTAGTAATATTTTAGTGCTTTTCTTTTGAATATTTTTTCCTGTAAACATTAATACATGTTTTTTTAAACAAAGTCACATCACAGTGTGCTTTGACTTTTATAACTGTTTGTCTTGAGACTTCATTATGATTGCCTTTCCATTCGCTTCTTATTTTTCTAATGGTTATGCTGTATTGCATTGTAATAATTGCCACAATTTATGTAACTGATCAACCGTTAGTTTAGCGTGTTCATAGTCACTTGCTGTAGTAAACAATACTGCAGTGAACATCACTGGAGTTAAACCCTGTGTCCATTTGTGAGATTAGTCTTTTCCAAAATTATCTGACTATAAATCCCTATTTTGGGGAAGTATCTTATAGCAGTAATGCTTCACAAAATACATGGTGGGAAGCACTGTATTATTTTTTGTACTTGTGGGATTTTAATTTTGTAGTATCTCAGAGAGCTGATACCAGCCCTCTCTCTCCCTGTCCCTCAATATAAACACTGCTGCCCAGTGAGTCCTTCTCTTCTGTGGCCCCTTGTGCCAAGAAGGTGCTGAGAGACTGAGAATCAAATGCTACCAGGACAGAACTGTAATTGGCAAGATACCTGTCTGTGGACCAGGGAGTATTACACCCCCTCTGGGAGGTGTTGACATTGCCTGTCCACACGTTTCTACCATATATACATTCAGAGCTCCTAGTCTCTTGTCTGTGAAAGTGAACGTCACTCAGTTGTGTCTGACTCTTTGTGACCCCATGGACTATACAGTCCATGGAATTCTCCAGGCCAGATTACTGGAGTGGGTAGCCATTCCCTTCTCCAAGGGATCTTCCCAACCCAGGGACTGAACCCGGGTCTCCCGCATTGCAGGTGGATTCTTTACCAGCTGAGCCACAAGGGAAGCCCAAGAATACTGGAGTGGATAGCCTATCCCTTCTCCAGCAGATCTTCTCAACCCAGGAATCAAACTGGGGTCTCCTGCATTGCAGGTGGATTCTTTACCAACTGAGCTGTCAGGGAAGCCCTCAAGAGCCAAGTCTCCTGTCTGTAATGGTTTAAAAACAAGCACATGCATACACACACATCCCTCCCTCTCTGTCTCTCTCTCTCTCAGTGCTGAAGGTGATAGTGATACAGGCCAGCTTTCCTCAGAACTTAACCCCGAGGCCTTATATTCACTGAAATGGAAACCAGTTAAGCCTTCAGGATTTTCTGTCAAAAGAATTGCCTATGAGATATTTCCATTGAAAATGTTACTGCTGGGAAATAACCCGTTACTCTTATGCAGTTGAACTAAATACATTTGATGATACTATTTCTCATTTTAAAGCCTTGCAACTTATAAATCTGGTCCATGGATTAAGCATCAGCAACACCCAGGTGTATCTCAGAAATGCAGAGTCTCAGGCCCCTCTTTAAAGCTTCAGTTAAAATCTTCATTAAACAATACCTCAGGTGACTTGTATGCATATTAAAACATTTTAAACTCCTTTAAAAGATTGCTGAAAAAGAATGAATTTTAATAAATATTTAGTTTACAATGGTCTTAGATTTACAGAAAAGTTATAAAGATATTGTGCATTCCAGTATGCTCCTGCCCAGTTTCCCTTGTTAAGATACATTTGTCACAAATAATGAACCCATATTGATACTTCATTGCTAACTAAAATCCAGGCTTTATTGGGATTTTGTTAGTTTGTACCAGAGGTCTTTTTTGTCTCAGACCCCATCCAGGACACCACATAACACTTACTCATCATTTAGGTGCCTCTGGATTGTGAGTTTCTTGGCCTTTCCTTTTTTGTATGACTGCTCAGATGGTAAAGAATCTGCCTGCATATACCTTGTTCATGGATCAGAAGAATCAATGTAGTGAAAATGAGTATACTACTGAAAACAATCTATAGACTCAATGCAAGCTACCAATGGTATTTTTCAAAGAACTAGAACAAATAATTTCACAATTTGTATGGAAATACAAAAAAAAAAAAAAAAAAAAAAAAAAAACCCGAATAGCGAAAGCAGTCTTGAGAAAGAAGAATGGAACTGGAGGAATCAACCTGCCTGACTTCATGCTCTACTACAAAGCCACAGTCATCAAGACAATGTGGTATTGGCACAAAGACAGAAATATAGATCAGTGGAACAAAATAGAAAGCTCAGAGATAAATCTACGCACCTGTGGACACCTTATCTTTGACAAAGGAGGCAA